ATTGTATAAATTCTGATTATTAATGAGACATCAAGTATATCAAAGTATCAAACGAATTCTTGGTGCAGTGTAATGGAATTAGAGTCTTACATGTAGAATAAGTACTATAAAACATGTAGCAAGAACTAAATTCGTATTATTAGCTTGGAAGTGTAAGAGTCTTTTTTTTGTAATGTTTGGTCTCTAGACATTTGTTTTTAGTCATATGCATATGTTTCTAAATTGAATTGAATATAAATTTTTTGAACTACTGCTTCTTCTTTTATATTTATTTATGATACTCGATTTTTTTATGGACAAGAGCATTGTTTGGGTCTTTTCTACTGCAATTGACACAGATTACAATAAAAGGGATACAATCGAAACAGCAGAAAAATTTACATTTTCCTATGGCTCTTTGCTATGTGCCGATGGAGTGTCGATATTTTCTGTTGATGGTTCTTACTAAGACGATGTGTCTTTCATTGTTAATCTCTAATTTGGTTGCTTAGAAGATAACTTAGTCTTCTCTTAGAACCAAAAGTAAAAGAACACCGCAAGTGTGTAGTATGGTGATATCTCCTTATATGTGTCGAATGAACAATCTCCTTCTCTTATAGGTAGTGAGAGAAGATAACTCAGTCTTCTCTTAGAACCAAAAGTAAAAGAACACCGCAAGTGTGTAGTATGGTTACCTCTCCTTGTGTGTGTCGAATGAACAATCTCCTCCTCTTATAGGCACACACACACACACACACACACACACACACACACACACACACACACACAGAGAGAGAGAGAGAGAGAGAGAGAGAGAGAGAGAGAGAGAGAGAGAGAGAGAGAGAGAGACTTAATAGACTTAATTATGGGTTAAGTGACCATTAAGATAGGAGATAATGGGGAAGTGGTTATTAAGACTTAATTGTGGGTCAAGTGACCATTAAGATAGGAGATAATGGGGGAGTGGTTATCCCCTTGAAAATAGCTCTCAAACAGCCGATTGGCAAAGTTTGCTGGTTCAATGAAGCTCGCTGAAGATGTTTGGTCAAGGTTCACTTGGACATGGGGGAGCCTTCTTCACAATCATGGATGATGCCACCCACATGGATAGTTATTGGTAAATTCGTTGATTAATTGATTGTGAACTTTGCTGACAAGTTTGTTTTAGCACAGATCTCAATTCACAACTTGGTCGGCTTGAGGACACTTTTCGACTCGGCTCACAGTCTGACTTGGGAGTCGACCCGCTCTTGATTTGGTCGAGTCGGGTCGAGATGAGCTGTGTGGCAAAGCTCGCATGCTCTTTCAGGTAGGCTTCACTATAGCTTGTTCTGGACTCAAGTGTGGGCCTATTTGAAGCATTTCAGCCCATGGGCGTTTACTCAAAGCCAAGCTAAATCATTATCCTAGTCAAGATATATTTTAACCATTTAAGAGACCCCAAAGTTTTCATGATCTTGTATTTAGACTTATAGCAGGGAACAAAATACTTTGGGTAATCACCAGAGGTGTACTATTGATTGTAGATTTGGTCATCTTTCTTAGGCTAAAATATTTCCATTTGACTACTTGATTGCCAGAGGTAAACTATTGAACGTGACTTCCTTTGTTGTAGATTTCCATTGAAGGCTCAATGATGTTTATATTCATCCCATTTTGTGTTTGGAATTAAGTTCACACACGTTATTATTGAGGAGAAGTTGAGAAATCAGTAAAGTTCAGCTAATTCTAGGTATCAGTGAGATTCGGCTTACTCTGGGTCGTGTGGGCGAACCTCGTGAATTATTGATGTTTGCTATCTGGCAAAGGTCATTGCGATTACGCCTTTGGATTTACACCATGATTTGCAGCTGAGATCTCTTGATTGAATATTCACGAGATCCGATATAGATTTCACCGAGTTTTAGGCTAAGATTTAGCCTCTTTGTCTGGTCTAATCAAATCTTAAAAGATGTGATCATCTTAGAAGTTTATATTTGGAGAAGGCTATAATAGCACAATTTTCCTTCTAAATTCTTCATCTCCATCTCCATCTTCATCTTCATCTTCTCTATGTCTAAGCCTCCATCGCTTAGATCGGAGATGCTCCCCAATAGA